GTCAAACACAACCCTGGTGCGGCCCTCAATGAAATCGAGTTTGACACCCCTGGTTTATGTCAATATTACAAGTAGTCCTTGACTTACTTCATTGTGGGCGTGGAGGTGGGCATGGCCAGCTTGACGTCACTCATATCGGGGGTCCCATGTGGTGGCCTGAGGGCTCTGCTAGCGAAAACAGAGGTCCGTTTTCACTGGCAGAGGGCTGCAGGAAGGCCGTCACAGCCAAAAATGCATGCAGCCCTTCCAAGCTCTGTTTTCGCTGGCAGAGGCACCGTGGGCCGGTTTTTCACTGTTGTTTCTAGAGTGGCCCCGCAGGCCAGATCTAAGGACCTTTTGACTGAGTTTGAAACCTCTGGCATGAACCCTTTTTTATCTTTAAAGGCTTAAGTTAGCTAAATCATCAGAACGTTCATGATCTGTATAAATACAGGAGAACCTCCAGTGACGACCCTAATCCGTTCCGAGAATTCGGTCGCCACCCAATTTGGTTGTCACCGGAAGCGCATGTGCTTTAAAAAAAATGACGCGGCGCGGAAGGGCAGATTGCGGCAGCTTTGTTCACCACCCGAGCACCTGTTTGTGTCAAGAGGTTAAAAAAAAGTTTGGCTGTCACCCGATTTGGTCGTGAACGGAAGCGTTTGCGACCAGAGGTTCTACTGTATTATTGCCACCAAACAATATGGTGTATTACTTGTGTTTTTCAACAATAACATAAAACAGTATTATAACATTGTACATTTCCCACCCACCCCTTCATTCTAGAAAGCGACCAAGAGGTGTATCAGTCTATCGAGGAAGATCAGACAGATACTTTTGACAGGTCAGAGATCGAAGATGTGGTCATCGACTATCCAGAAGAAAACGAAATGCAGAATTCAGAAGAGGCACCTGTTAGTGAGCTAGACGGGGTCAACCTCTGGCGGTTCACTGTCCCCCCAAGACAGCACAAAGACGGGCCACGGCACAGCTGCCTCCTTTGTGGGAGAGCCTTCACCCGAAAATCAAGCCTGAATAGACACCTCATTATTCATACCGGAGAGAAGCCCTACAAATGTGCTCACTGCGGGAAAAGCTTCAATCGAAAGACCAACCTGCTCTCCCACGAGATGGTCCACGCCAGAGACAAGTCGTATCAATGTTCGGACTGTGGGAAAAACTTCAAGCCGAAGTGGGGCGTCAACGCCTACCAGATAGACCACACCGGAGAGAAGGTGTACAAGTGTATTTCTTGTAAGAAGAGCTTCAGGCAAAGATTAGAATTGGGGCGGTTGTTCAACGGGCAGAAGAAGGAGATCACCGCAGGGCAGTTGAAAGGGGAGTGGAAAGATGGGGTCTTTGGCCCTCTAGAAGACCACGAGAAACAGGTGGAAGGCGAGATGGCCGAAGAAAAAAATGTAGCCCTGATCAATCCGTACAACGACCTCGATAAAATGAACAGCTCGCCGGCGTTGTATAAGGGAAGGCAGGGGAGCCCCTGCCCGATTTGTGGGAAGGTCTTTGCCACGCAATCGAGTGTGAACCGACACAAGAGAATCCACACGGGAGAGAAGCCGTATCAGTGCTCCGACTGCGGGAGAAGCTTCAACCAGAAGACGACTCTTCTAACCCACATTGTGATCCACACCGAGCAAAAGCCGTATCAGTGCTCGGAGTGTGGGAAGCACTTCCGGCATTCCTCGGGCCTGTTGGTGCACCAGAGGATGCACACGGGAGAGAAGCCTTACAAGTGTGCCATCTGCCGGAAGAACTTCACCCAGCGGGCACACGTGGTCAAGCACTTTGTGAGAAAGCATGCACGAGAGAAGCCATCGGCTTACCTTTCTCAGTCCCCGCAGTAATGGCGGCCGCTGTAATAGGATGGGCCCTCTTTCGCCCTCGAGTCCGGAAATCGGCTTCTCCTCAGGAGCTCCCCTCCTTGGTGTCCGCACAACTTTGATTCCTTGTAGTTCACGGCACTGAGCACTTAAAACCACCAGGAATGCGCGACCCGCAGCCTCAGGTCACAAGGGGGGTGGGTTGCCATTTTTCAGAAGAAACGCTCAAATTAAGATCTGAAATAGACTTGACTGTGCTTTAAAACAGCTTCTCCTGAAACTCGGTTTGTGGGGGGGTGGGGGACTTTGTTTGGGCCACTAAAATACACTGAAGACAAAGATGAAACTGTCAGCTGCCTTGGCAAAATTGCTGAGCCAAGCGAAACAACGGCGGATTTGAAGATTCCCAAAGACAGTGAAAGAACGTCTCAATTGTGTGGGCAGTCCTCGTTTACTGGCTGCTTCATTCAGCGACCAGTTAAAAGTCACGTCAGTGCTGAAAAGCTAACTTTACAACTAATGCCTGCCCTTAACGACCTCCATAGAGTTCCTCGGTTACGTGATCGGTCTTTACAGTCAGTATACTTTGTCCTGGGCCTGACCTGTTCTTTTTCCTTTTTTCCTCCCTCTTTTTTCTTGCAGATTGGAGAGATTGAAGAAGATGACAAGAGAGTAAGCGAGCACATGACGGAGAATATACATTAAAAGCAATGTAGTGGCAATAGCAGCGGGTGTATTCTCCATTATGTACCTGCTTACTCTCTTGTAATCCCTTCCTCTTCAAACTCCGCTGTGTAAACAGGGCGGGGAGAAAACAGGTCAGGCATAGGAGAGCTTGCCTACAGAAAACCCTCTTTCCTGCCCCCTGGGATCGGAGAAATGAGGAAATTACAAGAGAGTAAGCAGAGCACCCAATGGGGAATACTTCGGGCTGCTTACTTAGCCGGAACCAAGGCATTGATTTCAATGTATGTTCCCTATTGTGTGCTCGCTTACCCTCTTCCAATCCCTTTCTCTCCAATAAATGTAAATATACATGTTAATTCCCTTTTTTTTTTCTTATTATCCCAGTGCCAGGCTTAGCATTCCAGAGGATTGGGAAAATAGAGAAAAGGGAAGCCCTGTGACAAGTCATGTGATTTCTCACTTAGTGACTGCTTCGCTTAACAGCTGCTGGGCTAAACGCAGACTACCGGTGTTCCAGAATACGGTAGCCGTATCCAAGAATTGGCAAGTTTTTGAGTGACTGGCAGTGACCGCAATGTATAACCGGTTGTAGGTAACCCTGGCGTTCTTTGGCATTGTAGCTCTTTCCAATGAAACGCTCAGTTTTTAAGTTACTCCTAGGCCTCCATAGTGTATGTTGTGGAGCGGAAAATGATGAAAGCACGTGTGGCATTGTGGCATAAGCTCCACCCCTTCAGTATATGTGCCAGGATATACACACGTAAGAAAGGGACAGGGCTTGCTCAGCAATGCTACAACACTGCTTTCATCGTGTTCATCCGGGTTCGCGTATGAACACTTTTTAATACTTTTTTAAACATTGGAATTCCCGTGAGAATTTCAAACACTCACATCGTGCTGCTGGTGCCATTTTAACAGGCCTATAATGTCAGATTGCAAACTCTTTCCCAGGTGCTGTGCTGGCGGTGTTGCTTTAAACCTTGGCAACATGAAGAGGTGGGTATTTCAGCAAGAGGAAATCTTCCCTCTGAAATATCACCTAGACATTTTTATTCTTTAGTATTGACCAATTTGGCTGCTCTTAAGTAGGAACTCAATGACTTTTTTAACTCGGCTGTTTTCTTAATCCAGCCACCCAATATGTATAGCAAACGTCCCTTTGGAAAGAACTGAATCTGTTCAGTTTCCTTCATTATCACTAACCTGATGCTTGTTTTCACGCTCTGCATTTCTGCTTTCCTGCTGAGAAAATATTCTCAGGCGTTTAGTTTCTCTTTGGTTCTCTGTGGCAAGTAAGTGATGGGCACAATCTTTGTCGATGGAGAGGGAAGGTAGAAATTTGTTACTCTTCGCAGAAGCTGATTAGAATAATAAACCTAATGAGAACATTGGATCAGAAGCGACCTGTCTTTCATGTGTCAAGGGCAGGAATTATTGCAACAGAAAGAGGAAAACTTTCTCTCATATTCTTGCTTTTCTTCAAGAGTCCGATTGTTGTGATGGCATTTTCCCACCACCACCACCCCGGGCAAAGAAATATTCATTGGTGTGACGAAGTAGTGAAATATAGGTAGTCCTCAATTTACAACTTTATTGTCATTGCACCTCGTACAACGAAATCAAACACCATCTTCAGTGTACATCATGACCATGAAAATAAAACACACACATCCTTCACCCTCCACACATTGAATCTAAAACCCCTGACACCACAACAACACTGCACCATACAGCAGAATTCAATAGAGTTACTGCCCTGGGACAGAAGCTGTTTTTCAGCCAATTTGTCCTTGTTTTTATTATCCTGTACCGTCTGCCAGATGGTAATAGTTTAAAAAAAAAAGGGGGGGGGGGTTCCCAGGATGAGATGGATCTTTGAGAATGTTTTGAGCTTCCTTAAGGCAGTGGGAGCTATAAAGCTCTTCCAAAGAGGGGAGAGGGCAACCCATGATCCCCTGGGCAATAACATTAACCCTCTGGAGTGCTTTCCTATCTGCCACTGTGCAATTGGCAAACCATACAGAGGTGCAGTAAGTTAAGATACTCCCTATAGTGCAGCGGTAGAAGGTCACCAGCAGTTTTTCATTCGGTTGTTGTTTTCTGAGAAGTCTCAGGTAGTATAACCTCTGCTGGGCCCTTTTGACCAGGGCTGCAATGTGAGCATTGCAGTTCATTTAGTGATCGTTCAAAGTTACAAGGCACTGAAGAAAGTGACTTATCACCATTTTTCTACACTTACAACCCTTGCAGCATCCCCCATGGTCATATCATTTACATTCCGACGCTTGGCAACTGACTCACGTTTATGATGCTTGCATCATAAGGTAGAAATTTGTTACTCTTCGCAGGGGTCACGTGATCCCCTTTTGCAACCTTCCAACAAGCAATGGAGAAACTAGATTCATTTAATAACAGTGTTATTCGTTTAACAACTGCTGTGATTCACTCAACAAACATGGCAAGAAAATGGGGCAAAACTCACTTAACAAATGTCTCCCTTAGCAACCTAAATTTTGGGCTCTGTTGTCGTGCATTGAGCACTACCTATACTACATACATACATATATACATACATATCATATAGCATCTATCATATATGTGTGTGTATATATATAAAAGCGAAATACCACTCACGCATCATCACAAAATCTCCAGAACCATAAAGCCTACAAACTTGAAATTAGGCACGTATGTTCCTCTTGGCTTCTAGGTGCTCACTAAGAAAGGATTTTTTGAAACGACCATCAGAACAATAGTATTTCCTATATTATTATTATTAACACGCTCTGACGCTAAGGAGTTCTACTCCCCCTTCCTTACCTGAAAATAAATCTGTTTTAAATGCAAAACACAAGCAGAGGAGTTTCAGTTTCACGGGGCCAAGCAGTGAAACTAAAGGTACAGAATAGTACACCAAGCAGTGTACTAAAGGTACAGAACAGTTGAGCTAAGCCACGGCCAGGCTCCTTGCTGTCTCCTTGCTCACACAGCAAATACTGTTTCAGTTTCCAAACAGCCCTCAACTCACACTGACAGGACACTAAACAGATGAATACCGATGGATCTTGTAGGCAGAGGCAGAATTCCCCCCCCCCTTATTTTCCTCCCCAAAAACTAAGCCCAATCACATAGTTTCGTAGCGAAGCATGGGTATCAAGCTAGTATATCATATATATCTATAAATCATATATATGAATTTATACAAAAGCGTAACATATCTCCACTTAATATCAGACTGGATTTTCAGGGAATACTACTCTCAAGGTTTGGTTTTTTTTTTTTAAAAAAAAAAGCCATTTTTTTTTTAATTAAGGAAAAAAATCCATAGCTTTGAAGTCTGAGTCTTCTTTTCAAAGACCACATCAGAACTTGGAGGGATGAGGGAGCTCACATTTCATGAGAAATCTTGTGAAATTTCAAGATCTACGTTTTAAAAAATGATTTCATTTTTTTTCTTAATGCACACACACATCTGCATGCGCGTGCACACACACACACACGAACTAAAACTCTGTTTCCTGTAACCTTTTAAGTGGGCAAAAGGATAAAACAGGGTAAAACCTTTTGAACCGAGGTACCTCAGACAGACTAACTTTTTAGAATGCACCTGTGGAATTGAGATTTTGCAAAACTGTTAAAACATTTTATGGCATAGGCATTATACTAAAGCAGCTTAGGACCTAGCCGGTTTTGTCTAGTGGTTAAGACATTGGACTAGAAAGTGGGAGGCCATGAGTTCAAGTCCCATCTTAGCCTTCTGGGTTACTTTGGGTAGCCCAGCCCACCTCACAGGATGGTAGTTGCGAGGAAAATATTGTTCCTTACTGGAATTTGGAATTTAAAAAAAAAATTAAATAAAATATGGATTATTTCGTAAAACATGAATGAATAATAGTATAGTCAAATGATTGATTAATAATGATATTAATGTATTTAGGAATATTTGATTGACAATATGAGAATATATACAATGTAATTGTCAGCTGGTGCTCCATTCAAAATCCAAGAAAGAAATACTTAGACTCCTTTAATCAGAGAAAAGATAT